AGGAAAGAGGAACATGTGAGAGTAGAGAAGAAGGCAGGGGAGGGCCAAAAATGAAGCACCTTGGAAAACTCTCTACAAAGATTAAATTCTGCCCAGAAGGCCACAAGAAGCTATTGAAGAAAAAGAAAAAAGAAGGTAGCTCAGTTAGGTTTAGATTTGGGGCATTCATTTTGGAGGCATTGTAAAGAACAGATAATGTGGGACATAAAACAATAGACAAGGTGGCAATAAAGAACACCATTAAAATAAACCAGCCCAGAAATGATCAATCAATGAACAAAGAGTGGAGGTGGCAGCTATGATGTTAGAAAGAATGTCAGAAAGAATGGGATGGGTTCTATAAGTATTGGGTGGTCATGATAATTTACTGAATGGGAGACTAGGGACACTTTATGACTAGTAGAATGGGATGCCATCCTCAGAAACAAAGAAAACTAGAGGTGCAACAGATAGAAGTGAGAAATCAATTTGCACATGTTATATTAGAGATTCCCATAAAAATTATCAGGCGATGTCCAGATAGAAGTTATGATTCTGGGGCTCAGGAGAAATCTGAACCTGATGTAGTGATTTTGGAATCATTTATTCAACAAATAGTCATTTGTAATTTACTCTATGTCCGGCTAAGTGTTAAAAATGCTAAATGATACTGACCAAGTCCTTGTTCTTAACAAGCTTGTAGGCATGAAATATAGATGATAGTAAGGCCATGGGGGTTGGGGGAATGGGGCAAAACCTCTGTGGGATAGTATAAAGTTTTTTTCCTCAATTCTTTTCTCTTGTGATTTCATGTGCCAGTTTTTCTCAGACTTGAATGTGTATATGGATCACCTGGGGACCTTAAAAGAAGACTCTGATGCCATAGTTGGTCTCAGGAGGGCCCAAGGTTCTGTGTTTCTCACGGACCTGCACGTGATGAAGACAATGAGGCTGCCCCTCTGTGGACCATCCCATGAAGAGCTTGGCTGTCATCATCAGGCCAAAGAATGTGTCAGAGAAACCAAGTAAGGCAGGGCCTGACCCTGGGACAGGAGGAGGGAATGGATGCCGGAAAGGGAGAGCCAATTCTCCATTAGAGATGACTTGTGAGTTTTCCCCCATCCACTGTAAGTTACTCAAGTAACTTTCATGAACCTGCTCAAATCCAAGTTCTGATAATGAGTGGGATATATTCCATTAATACACTTTCTTGGGTGATTTAAAAAAGAAAAAAACATTGAAAAAGAGTATCCTAGGAAATGGAGTCAGAACTTCAGTTCAAACTCCAGGTCTGCCACTTAGCTGTGTTACTTGGATGGTATTTAGTTTCTCTTTCTGGAACCTAGTTTCCCATTCTATCAAAACCCAGATAGTTCTTGCTATGGTCTGAATGTTTGTGTTCCCCCAAAATGCTTATGTTGAAACGCAACCACCAGTGTGATGGCATTAAGGGGTGGTACTTTGGGAGGTGATCACATCATGGGGACAAAGCCCTCTTGAAAGAGATTGGTATAACAGAGGCCCAGGGGAGCTCCATCAGCCTTTCTGCTATGTGAGAACACCATGAGAAGGCACCATCCTATGAAATAGCAAGTGAGCCCTCCCCAGCCACCAATCTGCCAGCACCTTGATCTCGGACTCCCCAGCCTCCAAAACTGTGAGAAATAAATTTTTGCTGTTTATAAGCCAGCCAGGAGATGGTATTTTGCTACAGCAGCCCACATGGATGGAGACGGTGCTTCCTTCCTCACAGGTGGCTGCAAAGATCACGTGGACTGAGGAATGCTAAGATCCCTACTGCAGGACCTAAGAAAGGGTATTTTCTACTTCCCTTAAGTTGTTCATTCTGTCCTTTCTTCAAAGGGGAAGAAAGCTTTTCTCCATGAGAGAAAGATTATTCCCTGATGCTCTGGACACCTAGAAGTCACATGCTTACTATTCCTGGGACAGGGAGTTTCCAAAAGTGTGATTTTTCAAACCAGAGCATTGGCATCACTGTGAGTGTGTTAGGAATATGATTCCATGGGTGCTACCCCCACCGCTGAATCTCTAGGGATAGTCCTCCTGTGGGTGACTGTTATGTACATCAAAGTCCAAGAGCTATTTCTCCATATGATCTCAGCCCCACCTGGCTTACCTTGCTCCAGGATCTGTAGGTTATGGGAGCCCCAGGTACATGGGCCTCTGCCCAGTCAGGTGAGGATCTGAGACAAAACAAGCCTAGGAAAGAGACCCCATGGCTTCCTCCCCAGCCCTCGGGGCCATGACCAAGGGCTGAGGATACCAGAACTTCCCCCAAATTCCATCACTCAGGTCAATGTTATTAAGTGAAGCATTATTTTCAGATGATCTGGTAATCACAGTTTCACATACTTATACATAGCAAAGATTTCCCTTCATATTTGTGAAATTTAATCGTAGAGGTCTGAGAATGGAAAGGCCACACACCTAAGTGGCTGACCTGCAGTCCAAACCAAAGCTCTGACCCCAATCCCTTTTCTTGCTACTTAGAAGAGATTCATAACAATAGCTTCCAAATTTGATCCTTCTCCCCCTTTTTTTTGCCTAAAAACATCACTTATCAAATCAATGCACTTTGTGAACCAGACTACATCTGGTGTTTGTTTTGAGAGCCTGCACAATTTGGGCTCTGTCTTCAGAAAAATCTCTTAGCTCTATGAAAATTACCATAAGGACATTGCCTTCTTCCTCTCAATTAGAAAAGGGCCTACTCATGGCTCAGTCACCAAAAAAAGATAATAATAATAATAACAATGTATGTCAGAAAATGAAAAGCTATTGTTCTCCATAGCCATTGTAGTAGAGCACAATGACATACAGAACAATGGAGAATTCTTCAGAAAGTCCTCCTGAATTTAGCATAGAGACAGGCCTGAACCACTAATTATATTAAAACCATATTCCTAGACTACCTTGAAAATATACTTTGCTCCCACAGCTATGATGATCAAAATTCTGTTTCAACCAATCCACCAAAAATACTAATACATTGTAGGGAAAATATATAACAAAATTACCAATGGTTTTCTCCACATAAGACTAAACTCAATTCTAAACAGTTTTAAGGCAATGGAAAGGGGTAAGAAAACTTCTTCAGAGATCTGTGGAAGCTTGTGAGATTCCCTGTGATTGAGGGACTGTTTGCTTTGGGACTAATGAATCCTCATGTCCACAAGCTTCTGGGAACAGGGATTGTCTGGCTCATTAAGGATATCTGGTAAAACAGCACTGATAGCTTTCAAAACTTTATATCACAGATAGTGAATATTATGTGCATGAAATTATATATCACATTATGTTCCTAGAAGATATATGACAATCTTTATGTAAGAAAATAACTTTAATGCTTCAAATTTAAAAAGGTAATTGTGTTTTATTAATCAATTTATGTATAATCTTGATAATGAAACAGCTAACGTTTATATATTGCTTCCACTTTTCCAGTATTTTTATACACATATTTCATTTTGAATCTCATAACTAAATTGCTTTAGATTATCATATTATCTCCACTTATATATAAGTAAAATGAAGCAGAAAGGGATGAGGTGAATTTCCTAAGTTTAGAAAACAAGCTGGTATTCCAGGACTATAACCCAGGTTACCTGATTCCAGTTTTCAATATCATTATCCAAACAAAGTAACAAACTAAATGAAGATTTCTGCTGTACATACCAACCAGAATGATTTTTAATTGTAACTTTGATAGTTCTAGGTAATCCTTAATTCTCAAAGCCAATTATATTCTATACTGGTGGTATAAAAATCAAATTCAGAAATTCAGATAAAAAACACACATGCAAAAAAATAAATAAAATAATAATCTTAAGAATGTTCTGCCTAGATATGATACTTGAACTGAAGGGTAAGAACTAAAACTGAGAAATCACCATCCCCACTACCATGTATTCATTCAATTCAACTCAAACTACAAATAGAATATGTTAACTACTGCTAAGTGCAGAAAATGAAGTCATTTTAGACTACAAGAAACTCATACTATTAAATGAATATTAGATAAAAATGAAAGTATGAATTACATATTTTAAATAAGCTATAATCAATATTGTATGGTGACAATTTGTTTTTGCAGTAGTCTGTTCATATTGGTAGTTACTAGATTATCATTACGTGCTTCTAATACATTGTTGATTTTTTTAATGACTCAGTTGAAATAGACAAGTTATTGATATAGACACTGTCAAATAGAAAAAGTTTATAGCTATGCCAAATAGGTCATTTAATATGAAAGATTTAAATCATTTAAAAAGTGTAGTTGAGCAACCTAATTCTTCTGAGAATCAAAATATTAAATAACTAAAATCATCAGAAAAAAATAATAGGCTTCACACGGCATTCTCTCATGCCTAATACTCTGTTGTACTTTTTAAGGAAAATTACAGCTGCCAGAGTTAATTTAATTTACTGTAATTTAATTGTTGAATTTGTATTTTGTACACATCATTGGAGGCCCTAAAGCAATGATATGTTTTTCTTTTAAATAAATAATTTTCTTTCACAGTATAAAGAAACAATTGGCTTGGAAGACTGTAGTAAACTATAGAGAGCTACCAAAATATGCAAAGTACCACCCAGAATGATTTCCCTGATACCAATCCACCAATGAAAGCATTAAAAAAATTAAGGAGTCAATTTCTCTCTGTTTACAAAATGTAATTTAGTATTAAATTCCCAGAGAATACAAATGCCACCATTGCAGAGCTTTGAATAGATGATATATCTCCCTCATGACCAACCTTCCCTGGCCCACGTTTCCCCAGCATGTACCCCAAGCCTCACCTATTGCCTTAATTTTATGAGTACAACAAGTACATTGAAATTGTGTAGACCTGTATGTCTTACTTCTAATGTATTCATTTTATAAACTGCCATTAATATCAACAAAAGTACAATAGTCCCTAATCCCAAACAAGCTAAATGACTTACTAAAGGACACTAAAATTCAATGGAAAGGAGAATGAAAAATGAAGCAGAATTACCCTGTGTCCAGCTTAGGTGAGGAACAGTTGGGTATTTGACTCTTCTGGATTCATCTGTTTTCAAGTCACAGCTTCTCTCCTCCTGCCTTCTCAGAAGCCCTCATCCTAACAGTGCTCCTGCTCTGAACCTCAAGGGTCCTGAGTAAAAAGGATGTGGCTGCCCTTGAAAATTCTTGCTCTTCATTTTTGAAGGTGGAAGAATGTATCTAAAAGTAAATGATTCAGAAATGAGATGGAGTTATAAGACATAAAGTCTTTTAAAAATATACATGTATATTAGGCATATATTTTTCAAAGTTTTACTGCATTTGGGGCACTGTATACTTATTCAATCATCATCACACACGAGTAGAAGTAGGTGCCATTACTATCTACCTTTCACTAATGCTGTGTAAATTGCTCAAAGTCATACAGCAAGTAAAGGCACAGTTAGAATTTCTTCCTTGGTCATGATTAGCCCTGAACTGGTTTTCAGTGAGATGTTCGATCGCTGTATCTCGTTCTTTGTGCTGCCTGACCTCTACATGGATGTTCATTGAGACATCCATGAACATATGTAATTGTCACATAAAAAACTCATGCTGAATTCCACTCTCATGTTTTCTCTCATGACAGTGAAATTGCCCTGGTCTCCTGGTTTCCATATTCAGCCAAATGTTCTTTCTCAGGAACACAAAGAAATTGTAGCTTCTTTTCTCTGTTTCTGCAGGAGACTTGGTGACAGTTCCTCAGGCCTCTCTGACACTGACCCACAAAACCATTTTTACTCCTCCTATGCTATTTTGCTTGTAGAATAGAATTTCCAGAAGTTACAGAAACAAGTTTGATTATCTAGGACTAGAACAGGCTTGGTCTATTTTATTCATAAATATCCAAATTTAGTAGAAAGTTCTACTGACAGTTTCCTCTGGAAGCTAAATAGTGGAGTGAGGTGGGCAGGGAGGCCCCTTCCTAAAGGATTTTATCAGTTACTGCCACTTGCGGTGGTGGAGGGGAAACTGGCACAGACCGACTCATGGAAGCCAATTGTTAGCATCTCTTCCCAGATCCACATTGAGAGCTGGCACATTGGTAGCTTGAAATCAGCCATGGCAAGAGTATTTACACCACAGAAATTGAAAACACTACAAATTGCAGCTTTTTCCCCACAAAAAGCTGATTATTAAACATTTGTCAGCATTGCCTAAGCTTCTTTTTGAATTCCTTTTGCATCCCCCAACCTAAAAGAATTTTTTTTAAATACTTTTCTGTGGATAGAGGTGAACCTATCTGGATCCGTATGCATTCTTCTCCAATCCTCTAGTCAGATAGGTCCCCAATCCTCCCTGCACTATTGGAGACCTTATGTCTAGTGGCCTAAATCAGGGAGAGTAAACAGGTTAAAAGAAAGAAGTATGGTAGGAAAAAATCGGTTTATACTTCACATAATACATGCACAGAAATAAGGTGATGCACTTGTATGTGAAACATACCCCAATCCTTCCTGAGAGGTTGAAAGGAATGGCACATTCCTGAGTCCAGGAACTCATTAAAGTGGTCTTCTGCATGGCCTCCAAGGGCTGACACCAATGCCTGCTGCTTTGGGATGCTCCCTGCCCTTAATTAAAATCCTACTGATAAATAGTCAGTAAGAATTCTACTCCAAGGAGTACAAAAGAGGATTATGTTCCCTATCCATCTAAGTATAATTAAAAACTATGTCTATAATATATTAAATAAACATAGGATTCTGAAAGGTGGAGAAGACAGACCAGCCAGGGACCTCCAGACATGAGGAATGACACAGTGGTGGGTTCCCCGGGTTTTCTCAGACATGAAACTAAAGAAGTCCCAAGCCAGAAACCCAAGACATGGGCAAATGAAGCTCCAACAGGATCCTATTCTATGCAGTCAAAGAACCAGGAAAGGGGCATCATCTAGACAGGAAACTGTTAGACAATCATTATTTTACTCCAGCCAAACATCGCAAAACAGCAAATAGCAAAGAAACAAACAAAAACTGAGGACTCAGAACCACCCAGGATAGTAAAGACCAAGTGGAGAGCCCAGGCATCTACCCTCATGAGGCTGAAACAAGGGGCCCAACACCTCCGCCAGAGTGGTATCCAACAAGGCCCAGAAGGGAGCTGGAACTTTGATGCCTTCTAGCTGGTGATGAACTCCCCTCTTTCTTCTTGGTATCAGTGGAGATGGTGGAGACAACATGGGCATCCCGAGCATCCATGTCCTGCCCCAAAGAGGCCGCCCCCATCATGGTGTCCATGGAGACCACTCTGGCAGTCAGGACTTTCACTCCTGCCCAGCAGTAACAAATGGTACCCTGCCCCTCAGGTGTAAATAAAAGCCAGTGGGGAACCCAGACTTCTCTCTCTATGTGGCAGCAAGCACGTAATACCCTCATTCCCCTGCTGGATAGTGTCAAGAAGCTAAAAGAGAGGATTAAAATAAGATCCTGAGTCTCACAAGATAACACAAAAATATCCAGGTTTCAAAAGAAAATCACTCATCATACCAAGAAGCATGAGGGGCTCAAAATGAATGAAAAACATGATCAATAGATGCCAACACCAGGTTGACAGAGATGTTAGAGTAATCTGACAAAATTTTAAAAATGATTCAATGAGCAATTGCAAACACACTTGAAATAAATAAAAAGATAAACACATCTACAATTATAGTTGGAGACTTCAACATTCCTCTTTAAACAATGAATAGAACACCTAGGCAGAAAATCACCAAGGATACAGAAGAACTCAAAAACGCTATCAAGCAACAGGGGCTAACTGACATTTACAAAACAGTCCATCCAACAGCGTCAGAATACATTCTCTTTTCAAGTGCCTGTAGACCATACTAGGGTAGACCATATCCTGGGTTATAAAAACAAACCTCAACAAATCTAAAAGAACTGAAATGATAGAGTATGTTCTGTGACCCAATGGAATCAAACTAGTAACTGGTAATAGAAAGATAACAGGAAATTCTCTAAACATTTGGAAACTAAACAACACCATACTAAATAATCTGTTGGGCAAAAACAATTGGCTCAAAAGAAATTTTAAAAAAATACATTGAAGGGGGTGGAGCAAGATGGCGGATGAGAAACACTGCCAGACAGAATGTCTCTGCAGAAAAGACAGATTCTAGAAGAAATTAGAAAAAAGAAGAAAGAAGACGAGCATACAGCGGACGAGGGCCAGAAGGAGGGGTACCTGAGACCCTGGGAGACTCCGCAGGAGGAGGCTGCTGAGGAGAACTGGAGGCTGAGACCACCAGAGCAGCCCAGAGACCAGCAGCAAGGGTAGGTGGATTTGCTGTTTCCCCTCCCCTGCATTTGGGACTGCTGGTGGGCTCCTCAGCGGGTAGAGAGACCTGCGGACACCAGCCCAGAGACCACCGCCACCGCCAGCCAGCAGTGAGCCTATAGCAGACGTGGCACCAGGTTCCCAACTTCCTCCGGGCACCTCCGTGTGCACAAACCTGAGCCGCGCGGCAGGCGCCATATTGCCTCCTCCTCCCCTCCGCCGACCCTACCCGCGGCTGCCCAGAGAGACAATACAGCCACCAGCCAGAGGCACCTCCAGGGAATGGGACCTTCCCTTTTGGGACCCTACAGCTGACTCAGGGGAACTCAGACTGTGAGCCCCCTACCTGCCAGCTCTCTCAGGTGCTGCTGACACAGTGTTCCTAGGAGAACGGTGCCGACTCAGAGGCTGAGAGACATAGACCCAGCTTGGGCTCCCTGTGGGTGAATTAGGACCGGAAATCCTCTCCCTGGTGGGGATACAGTTTGAACTCTGGGACCCAGAGGTCGGACCTGCAGACCAGAACCCCTGCACCAAGGGCTAGCATTGCCCAGGGCACAGAAGGGTTATACCTGAACAGCCTACTGAGGTGTGTGTGCCTCCAGGAGCGGATCAGCATCCTAGAGGGCAACCCTCCTCCCAGGAGGAGGCCGTGCGCCCAACCCAGGTGGCGTTCCTGGGCAGGGAACCTCCCCACCGGCATCACAGTCCAGGGAGGCCTGGTGGCGTGTGGTCTGGCCTGCTGGCAGAGGCCCAGGAGTAGCTGCAGAGTTGGGGAGGGTGGAAAGAAGCAAGGCCCACTCCAGACAGCGGGTCTCAGACAGCCCCACCCCCACATCCAGACTTTCTGGCTGAGCGGGACCATTCCAGCCCCGGCTTGACAGCTTTTCCTGGAAGCAGAGACCAGAACTTTGACCCTTGCTAACTGCCTGAGGGCAGGCTTACCCAACCTAGCTCTGCCCAGAATGAGAGCTGATAACAGGACACAAAATCAAGAGCATAGCCTGTTCCTCCAAGCAAATGCCACCTACTGACAGGGACGGCATCTTGCATAGCCTTTCCGACGGCACCACAGACTCAATATACAGGGAGCGGTCACACTCTCACCCACAGACCACCTAACCTCAGAAACTACACAAGGTGTGTGAATACCCAAACAATCAACTAAAGGAAAGAAACAACACGATCAACCATGGAAAAATTCAGCGAAAGACTCAGAAATATGAAGAACAAACGAAAACACACCCCAAAGAGAAGCCACCAGCCTAGAAAGTGGACACCGCGACACCAAAAATCAGCGCAACCATATATTGACACGAAAAATTCAATGTGATATAAAAAAGCATCACGTTCACGGCAACACATAAAAACAACACAAGAACAGGACAAACTTCAAGAAGATAGACACAATGAAGAAAAGTTAACCGAACTCCTGGAAATGAAGAATCAATTCAAGGAACTAAAAATACAGTGGAAAGTCTCAAGAAAGGGGTAGATCAACAGAGAAAAGAATCTCAGAGCTTGAAGAAACACCCTCCATTAAACAAATCAGTCACAGAAATAGACAGAGAAACAAGAGAAAGAGCAAAGCCTACAAGAGCTGTGATTATGTGAAGAAACCTAATGTGAGGGTCTAGGCTTACCAGAAGGGAAGAAGACAACATCAAGGGTTGGACAAGCTGTTTAGATATAATAGAAAAATTTCCCAGGCCTTGCCAAAATCTTGATATTACAAGTTCAAGAAGCTCAGAGGACCCCTGGGAGATTCAATGCAAACAGGAAGACGTCACGACATGCAGTCATCAGACTGACCAAAGTATCAACAAAGAGCCCTTCTAAGAGCTGCAAGACAAAGAAGCAAGTAACATACAAGGAAAGCCAATTCGAATCACATCAGACTTCTCTAATGAGACTTTACAAGCAAGGAGAGACTGGGGCCCATTCTCACTCTTTTGAAACAAAACAATGCCCAGCCTAGAATATATTCCTGCAAAACTAAACTCGTATATGAAGGAGAAATAAAGACAGTCTCAGCAGACAAGCAAAGTCTCTAGAGAATTCACCAAGACAAGACCAGCCCTAACAAGAAGTACTTAAAACAGTTACGCACGGAATATAATAATAAACCCAGAATATAAAAACAACCAAACCCAAAGATGTTAAAGGCCAGATATTACAATGGTTCAAGACAGGAATCATAGCAACAACATCCAACCCAACAGAATGAACAGTAATCTACCTTACCTATCAGTTCTCTCACTAAATGTGAATGTTAAACTCTCACCTCAAGAGACATAGGCTGGCTGAATGGATAAGAAAAATACAGGCCAAGTATAATGCTGTCTTCAGGAACACATCTAACTCAAGGATGCATATAGACTAAAAATAAAAGGGTGGAGATCAATATTCTAAAGCAAATAGAAGCCAAAAAAGGCGTGTGTGCAGTTCTAATTTCAGACAATTTAGTTTTTTAAACCACAAAAGTAGTGAAAACAAAGAGGGTCATTATATAATGTGAAGGGCACAGTTCAACAAGAAGAGATAACAATTTTAAATATATATGCACCCAACTTAGGTGCACCAATTCAAAACAAACCTTACTGGAGCTAAGCAAATGATTAATAGCAATCCATAATCACCGGAGATTTCCACACCCCATGACGCACGAGACAGATCCTCCAAACAGAAATTAATAAAGAAATAATGGACTAAACAAAACTCTAGAACAATTGGTCTGACTGACATTTACAGAACATCTACCCCAAATCCACTGTAACGTTCTTCTCATCAGTTCACGACATTCTCTAAGATTGACCATATCCTAGGACACACAAGAAATCTCAAGAAATTTAAAATAGAAATCATACCATGTACCTTCTCAGCATCACATGGAATAAAAAGAAATCAACCCTAACAGAAACTCACATTTCTACACAAAACGTGGAATAAACAACTCCTACTAAATGATTACTTCATAAATGAGAAGATCAAGATGGAAATAAAAAATCTATGAAGAAAACACAATGGGAGACAAGTTATACAACTCCTCTGGGACACAGCTAAAGCAGTTCTGAGAGGAAAGTTTATCTCCATAAATGCGTATAACAAAAACAAGAAGATCACATATACACAATCTAATGAAACGACTCAAAGAGCTGGAAAAAGAAGAACAACCTACCCCTAAACCCAGCAGAAAGTGAAATCAACAAGATCAAATCAGAACTAAAAAAATTGAAAACAGGGAAGCTATTCAGGAGATTAATAAAACAAAAGTTGTTCTTGAAAAATAAACAAATTGACACACCATTGGCTAACCTAACGAAAAGCAGAAAAGAAAATCTCTAATAAGCTCCATCAGGAATAAAAGAGATATCACAACTGATCCCAAAGAGATACAAGATACAATTTATGAATACTACAAAAATCTTTATGCATACAAACTGGAAAATGTGGAGGAAATAGACAATTTCTAGAAACACGACAGCCTCCTAGGCTCAACCAGGAAGAATAAGATCCCTGAACAGACCAATCTCAACAGTAAATAGAAACAGCAAAAAAATCCTCCTAAAAAGAAAATCAGTCCAGATGCTTCACCCCAAATTTTACCACACTTACAAAGAAGAATAGTACCTATCTTGCAAGAAACTATTCCACAACATCGAGAAGAACGGAAACCTCGCCGCACCTTTTATGAAGCGAATATTACTCTGATACCAAAACCAGGAAAGATGCAACAAAAAGAAAACTACAGACCATATCCCTAATATTATAAGCAAAAATTTCAACAAATTCTAGCCTACACGAATCCAGACACGTATCAAAAAAATAATCACCACGGACCAATGGCTTCTCCAGGGATGCAGGATGGTCAACATAACGTAATTCATCCAAAATTCGCAATTCAGCGCACACGTAAACAAGAAGCAAAAACAAGACCACAATGATTTTCAATAGAGCAGAAAAAGCTTGACAAAATTCAACCACCTTCATGATACACACATTTAAGAAAATAGGCAAGAAGGGAAAAAAAAAAAAAAAAAAACTAACCTAAAAATGATACAAGCCATATATGAGAGACCCATAGCCAACATCATTACTGAATGGGACAAAATTGAATCATTCCACAATTAGAACTGAACCAGACAAACTGGCCACACTATCTCGCCACTCTGTCTAACATAGTACTGGAAGTCTTGGGCAAGCAA